GGGGGAACAATTTACAAATCATTCGGCGCGATCTGCTTTGGTGCTGTTGGGCCCTGAATTATAATTACCTTGAATTGGTCGAAAGACATTAGTTACTTTATGGAATGTAAGCAACAGGTCCTCGTTCACAAATTCACATGAGCATGACTCTCCGTACGCATCTCGTGCTGTAATATGCGCAGGTGACAGTAATCCCCGTACATCTATCTACACTACGTCCGAGGCAACGAAGTTCCCCACGTTGGCGATTGCTCCGGCTTGCCTCAACCACTAGTATCACCGCACCTTCCCTCGCGCTGTCGCATCTGTAGCAACCTGGTGGGAGTTGGCCTCGTCGAGATAATTGTGTTTGCGTGCTACTGCCCCAATGAACTACGCTCCCCGTACCCTCCGCGAGTTCTCCGCGCTCAAAGACATTCTCTACGGGAGCGACGATGCCACGTCCCCTTCCTCGTCCCACGACAGCAGCGGAAGCAAAGAGTCACGGAAGGATCACATAACCGATAAACTTCTTGAACGACTATTTGCGTCCGCGCTACCTGCTGCCGATGCCGTGAACGGCGGATCGATCATGACGGACGTCGCGGAGCGGCTTCAGGACCAAAAAAACAGACCGGCTTTCTCGGTCCCGGTAATGGCACGAAATTTCAGTCGGTTGAATGCGAGGTCAGGCAATGCTTTAGCTTGTACATTTATTTCTTGCTAACTGAAAGTGTCTACAGAATCGGTGTCGTGTTTAGACTGCAGTACAAAATCCTGCGCATTCTGATATGGCGGAATCCCAACCACACGTTCTCAGCTTTGGCTATCTACTCATTTCTATGTCTGTATCCATTCTTGCTGATCCTATTTCCTGTCGTGGTCGTCTTGTTGGGCTTCATGGTCCCCGCTTTCGTTCAGCGGCATCCGCCGCCACCATCGCCGCTGCCATCCTTCCCGGTACCATCAGAGGGCCCACCACTAGCTGAAGCGCGAGAGCTGCGACCAGTACCAGAGCTCTCACGTGATTTTTTGATGAACATGCGCGATATTCAAAACGCCATGGACGACTTTACACGCGCGTACGACAGGATCGTAGGGGCGCTGACCAAGCCCACGAACTTCAAGGACGAGCAATACTCCTCAGCCGTCTATCTCGCACTTCTAGCTGTCGGTGCGGTTATGTTCATGATCTCTCCGTACTTGCCTTGGCGCCACATCTTGCTCGTCTGGGGTTGGGCGGTTGTAACCATGGGACATCCCAAGGCGCGACGCATAATCAAATCTTCGCACGACATGTATGTGTCTCCTCGCGAACACCAGTTATCGAACCTTTTCGATGCTTGGGTGCAGAAGGATATCGTGTTGGACGAACTCCCGGAGCAACGGCACGTCGAGATCTTCGAGCTCCAGCGACAGAAGAACTCGGACGTGGACGAGTGGGATGATTGGTTGTTTAGTGCGGCTCCATACGACGCGCTTAGTCCCCAGCGCGCATCGAAGCAGCGACCGCATGGTGTCCACTTCTTGGACGAGGTTTTACCGCCGGTTGGTTGGAAGTTCGCACAGAACTCAGCCTGGAAGCTGGATTTGCGACCGGCGGAGTGGGTGCTACAGCGCTCTGTTGTCGGCGCAGATTTAGATAATAATTCGAAATGGGTATACGATACAACCCTGTCCGGATGCAGAGGCGAATGGAGACGGCGACGGTGGTTGCGGGTGTGCGAGCGACACTCGGCTGGAGAAGAGTAAATAACGTTGCGTGTCATTGCGATTGAATTATGGTTGAAGGCTGTATGTGGGTAGATCATGACGGTTTTGTACTGTATGGGCTTGTTTTATTGCAGGTTGGGAGCTGGACCGGAAAAGTTGTAAATATAGTACATGCTTATATTATTGAGTTATTCGCATTTTATCCATTCCCACCTTAATTGGTATTATTATACCTGCTACATGCAATCTACCGCGGAACTGGCTCAGTCCCGTGGGACTTACCATCATACAAATAAAACGAAGAACGAAGGATGAACCAGCTGACGTGCCGTATTATTGGCGCTCTTATGACATAAAATAACATGTTACAACTATAGAAACAATTAGTCTACTGCGCAAAGGGTCCTTGTGCATCTTTGGGTGATATGTATATTGAGGAATAACTGATTCGTCAGGTATAGATGGTCGTATTGTGTATAGTTCAACTGTAAAATGAGCTATAATGGCTGAATCTACAGCAAGTTGCACCAGATCTGCTATGCTCTTGGCTTTGGACGTAGTGTGAATTTACTTATAAAAGACATACGGGATCGATGTATCAGAGAAGTGGTTACATTTTTCAATTTTAGTTTTATCCAATTCTAGTGACGGGGAATGCATCAATCTAAGCCAAAGTAGTGCGTTTGCATCTGCAGGAGTTACGAATTCCGCGTCCCTAGTCAGAGCTGAAGTATCAAAGTGTATACCATTTCGTCTCGAGGACTTCTTGACCGCCTTGGTGAGCTTCGACACTCGTTTGATGGCTTCCGTCACCTTCCTTTTCTATTGCGAAGATTTAGGAGCCTAAATGGTGGCAAGGGTCTCTTGCCTTACAAGTGTTCACCTCTCGGCGTTTCTAAGACGTTTACAGTCCCGGTGACGTGACCTTCGGAGCGTTATTGAGCGCGTGCGATGAGCGCAAACTCCCCAGCGGCATCTGCAAATACTAGGACGACATCCAGAGCCGCATCCCGGACACTATGTGGAATACCCTCACTCTGACTTGCAGTGACATATTTATGCCTGCTTCTGCAGGGCATCTGCAATATCTCAGGCGTGCAACATTTCAATATGTCATCGTCGTCCACCTGTGTCCGACGTACTCTCGTCGATGACATCACACTTCTACTCCCTCAATGAACACCACTAACACCATCGTCCGGCGGCCTCGTCAGCATCATCGTCCTCCGGTCCGTCATTTCGGAACATAACTTCCGCTGACCTCTTGTCAGACTTTCGAGTCGACGAGGAATATTCCGCAGACTTTTCCCCCGAATCATTCACGAAGCGACTCTTCTTCCCCAGCTACACCGCGGCACCCGCACAAACACCACTCTTGGCATGCTGTCAATTTGCATTGGCGCCTATGGGACAGCAGGTTTCGTTATCCTGTGCACCAAAATAATGGGGTGTCAATCAATTATAGTCATTTACGGACGCGTTTGCGCCTCGATATTGGCGTCGCTCTCCCTGCCCCAGTCAACTGTCCCAACATGTATACGATCTTGGTGATTACCATAGAGGTGATAGTGACAGTATAGCCCAACAATGTTTGTTTTTCAGTGTACAACGCTCAGACGTTGGATTTTAGAGCGGAGATCTTCAGCAAAGGAAATAAAAGAGCAATTCCCGCGCGGTAGTACTCGATTTGTAGTTGGGCGAGTAAACTTTTTGATTGACACAATCTCAAAGTTCATCCAGTGAAAATGAATGTATAACGATGTGAAATCTTGAAAGCTCTCCGAGATTGTCTAATTTGTCTGCATCAACAGCAAGTCAAGCGCGAATTTATTATGCACTTTGGCGCCTGGTATCATACCAAGTACTACCAGTTCTCTTGTATCATACTGCCATATGGGTGGTGAAAGTATGTGAGTTGATGTTTAATAGCTCATCACTTCTTACACCACGAAGCACTTTTTGTTAAATTTCAGAAAATACAAATCTCCGTAAGCGTCGTAACCGCCGTAACCGCGAACGGCTAAAACATCATATGATTTGCAAGCCAAAAAGACGCATAATCAGACCCACCGGGCAACCCAATTACTCCTGGTCGAGGTTCTTGAAGTTGTCGACAGTGAACCAATGCAGCTTCTTGCTGTTATAGACCGACGCGGTTGGCTTCAGTTCTTCCTAGAATATCTGTCAGCATAATGAAATGTAAATCAGGATCTGAAATTGGCGTACACTATTCCAGGCCCCCTTGAGTGTTCCGGCGATAACAATCTTGTTGCCGGCGAAGGGCTTGGGCTGTCTGTACAAGTTTGTACCGCAGTTGGAGCAGAAAGTGCAGGGGACCGGCTCACCGGAGTCCCCTTTGTAGGCCCAAGATTTGAGATATTCTTTGCCCTTGGTGATCTTGTACTTGTCGTCGGGAACCGGGTATACCGGGCAGAAGGCACCGTATCTGATCTTGCACTCATCGCAGTGGCAGAGGATGGCGCCGTCAGGCTGGTCGATTTCAGCGTCGAATTGGATGCTGCCGCAGTCGCAGGATCCGTTGTAGGAAGGCATTGTCGGTGAATACTCGATACGTTATATTGATGGTCGTGCCGACATTTGAGTCAAGGCATTCAGCTGGTTTTATATGTGTATAAGTTTAGGCTTGGCGAGTGACGTAGATGCATCGCCGTTCATATCGGTGACTTCAGTGCAGTGTCCGGCAAAACCTGACCTCCAAATCTCGATCGAGTTAGGAAAGAAGACTTAGCATTAAGTCCGTGGACGAGCGACGATGGTGACGCTGAGCCGCAGGCAAATCTTGGCAGTGATCAGCGATTGTGAATGCATGTATCTGCCGCTTGAGGAGGAAAATCACCTTTGCTGACTAGAACAGCCTTGGATATCTTCTCAAAGTAAGGCTCACGCGAAGCAGGGGGTAGAGACTTCAAAAATTAGGGCCAATGCTTATCGTAGTAAGGTCGAGCAGTAAGCAGGCGTGACGTCATCATTCACTTCACGAAGTCCCAACCAATTAAATGCTCTTTTAAACCTGGCTTGCTCATATATTAGTTATTTCTGACCAGGATATTAGGAATCCCACCGTAAATTATATTATTCTTATTATTCTAATTGACACTGCGACCATTGACTGTTCTGTAATGTACCACCATTCTGGAGGCTACCAGCACTAACCGATATTAATTCAATTGTATACACTGGCATATTTTAGTCTCTCCTTGTCCTTTCTTCAAAGAATAATGCTATAGATTCAAAAAAAATTAGGTGGAAGGAACGATAAACCAAACAATAAAAGCTCAAAAAGTTACTGCCCCCTAGCGGAGTTGAACCGCTGACCTCAGCATCTCACAGAGAACCATACAAGTGCTGCGCTCTACCAACTAAGCTAAAGAGGCTAACGACGCATACACTGATGCCGTAGAGAAGATAAAGCTCCTGTGACATCCCTTACCCTTGCTTACGCGACCTCCACCTATAGCACGAAACGGTTAGGTACGGGACCTCCGGCGGTAGGATAGTCTTTCTGTCATGCTTTCTTCCTTAAGGTCGTTCTATTTTCTTTCTACTTCGTCAGCATGTATACAATAAAGTTATAAACAGGGACGCTGCTTTACATGTGCAATTCGTTTAAGCTCATAATGGATATAGTACTAATACATCGGCTTTCTCAATCACAAAAAAAAAAAATTTGCCCTGACTCTTTGCGTACTTATTGTTGCATTATCGAGCATTTTGTGCATCTGAAATAATAAAAATATATTATCAGCGCAAATGATTCCAAAGCTCTTACGATTTTGCAGACTGCTGATTGCCCAAGACTAATGATCCAATGGGAGCGAGGTTTCCACATTAAGAGATTGTATACAGTTAGGAAAGAGTTCAGGGTTTAGGGGTCAGGGTTGTACATTCTAGTTATGCCCAGATATTTGAGGATATTTTGCGTATCCGTCATCAAATCACGTGTGTACTCTTCAGTATCGACAGTTAGTGACAATCCACGCCAGATTGTACACTTCTTTCGTTTTTCTAACTCAGTAAACGGATTGAATCATCATGGGCTCTACCGTATCTAAATCTACGCGGCGGTATCCCTCTGCTGCTGCTCGCGGCGGCGTTGAGAACCTGGTGAAGAGCACGATTCCAAAGCATACATCTGATATCCGATCACCGCCGCCAAAGCCAACTGCGCCTTCTAAACCGAATATTGAGGCCGAGTCAATAAATGATGTGATTAAGCCTGTTGAATCTGTATTTCAGCGGGAGAAGAATCCGAAGCTGAATGATATCGCTTTGGGATTAAAGGATTTCAATTCAGGTAAGTGAAGTGTGCATTTGCAAGTTCATATTGGCTTACACGATTTATAGGCAGCGGGGGTGGGAATTATGATTCGCAGTTGAATGACATGTTGAAAAAACTTGGACCTGTGCATATTTATGGAAATGTCACACAACCAAACGATATTCAGGTACGATGACTTCTTCAGTTGGTCTGACGATAGTGTACTAATGCGGCTTCCAGACAAACCCAGTCGCGCAGATGTTCAAGGTCAGAGAATTCGTGAACGAGCGAGGGAGAATAGAGCAAGAAGATTTGCATAGACGACGGACAGTATTTTCAGCCGCGGAATTGGCAGAGATATTGGATTTGAGCAGAAAAAATTGGACTAAGAAGGAACTCGAGGACCACTATCACCTTGATCCGACAGTTTTGGACGACATTGGAACGGCCTTCAGAAAGTTTATTCCCGAAAAGTCGATTGATCTGGCGAAAGGCGCTGAAGAGGAAAGTTTCGAAATTTTAATGAGGCACGGTGCGGCCGGTTCCCGTGAGCCGGGATTGAAGAATGCTGGCGAAGACAAAGTTCAACGTAGTGAACAGCCTCAGTCGCTGGCATGATACATACGGTGTTATTTATTGTTATTGGTGTACATGGATTTACATGGGTTTACATTGGCCATATATCGTTCCTGTTTGTAAAAATTGTATCTTGTATTATAGAAATCTTTGCAATCGTGCTTAATAGCTCGCGGGTGTCGGATACCCCAGACGTCTCGAATATAAGCGAGACGTTAAGTATATTCTCATTAACAATCATACATAAAGTATTATAAAGATTTGAATTGCAGCCAGCTTAAGCAAGTCGAATTGGAATCGTCGAGTCATGTTTGCTGTCCTAGATCTATAGCTTATAGCCGCCGACGGTGGAAATGCTGGGAACGTTTTCAGGGGTTCCGCAACTTAAGACAACAAATTTACAGATAGTCCTATTTGGCTATTCGTACATGTGAAGGCTAGAGCCAGGTTGGTAAATACCCGTCACTAACCCCACAAATTGGCGTACACTAGTTCATACGAAATTCACAATGGACGAAGAAGTGGAAGATGGTATCGAGGATATTTTCCCATCCCCAGAGTTCCCCTACGATCGACAACTCCTCAACTACTTATCAATGCAACGAAATAAACTAGATGGCTACCTTTTCTTTGATCTACTGGCGACCGGCATAGCCGCCGTTTCAGATGGTATTCTGTAATTTTATGTGCATTTTATCGTATTACTAATGCAGATGTAGCCCAGGATCTATATCCTCCTCGGGACACGACATCACTGCAAGATCTATACGACCACATTGCTGCCGCGAACGCAGATATACTTAAAAAGCACTGTCTCTTGTACTACATCCTGAAGGACTACGGATCACAGCGAGCGAGCGACTACGTCGATAGCGTGCTCTTACCCGACGCACACAAACGATTAATAGATGGCGTTTACGCACTAGATCGGTTCCAATTTCAGGTATGCCGATCGAAAGTTGTGACATATTGTCCATAGACTTGCTAACCTACTTATTTCAGGGAGCAATGAAAAACTTAACTCACCCTTCCGTCCGATTACAGTTCACAGAAAAAATTCTGTCCACGCTATTAAAATACTGTGATGATGGACCACAGTATATTCGAATCTATGTCGCCGTCACAAACCCCACTCTAGACACACGAGAGGCGACCATCATGTACCTGGATGCGCTCAGTCGAGTCTCCATATTCTCAGCTCTCGAGTTTGTGGTATGTGACCTTTCGTCTGGACGCGGCAGGTTCTAACTGATCGTCTAGAGAACAACGCCGCCAGAAGATCGCGCGGAGAACTACAGGATGCTAATCGATTTCTGTCTCTCACACGGGCCCGACTCTAGTGCCTATCAAATTGCGAATCTCCCACTTGCAGAAGAAGAAGAAAAGATCGTACTCAATTATCTTGCCACCAGCCCTGACGCTACTGCAAAAAACATCCTAATAGTTCGTGAACTGCATCGCGGCCACGTAGACAACGCCAAAAAGGTGGCAATGTCCGTACATAGGCAGATATCGGTAGGTACGGGAAAAGACAAGCAATGGGTTGCCATGGCTCAGAAGTTGAAGACAAATCCAAGGCAACTCTTGTAAACTTAACGTAGAAAGATGGGATGTATCATAAATGAGATGAGGAGTATATGTAAGTTAGAAGATATTTGCTACCTAAATGTACAGAAAACTTTTTATTACGCGTAAGGAGAGTGTGCCAATATACAGTGCAATAACCATCATTAACCGAATTTTACGCTTAAGACTCGAAGAACGTCTTGACGTCCTCCAACGACTTACGGTAAAGCTTACTTTCCTTGACTTTAGAGTAGGAGCAGATGAACTCGCCAAGTTCACCGTCCAGTCCGACGGACTCCAGATAACTATAGTAAGCGTCCTGGAGCCTGTGATCGAGGTTCTGGAAGGGAGGTCCCCAGTAGACATTCTTTCGAGTTTGTTCGGCCAAGGCATCGTCAGAAAGAGCGATAGCACTGTCCTTGAAGAACGTGACCTGCTCGATTGCAAGGTTCTCTGGCTCCGAGTTGGCGTCGATGATGACAGTGCCCTTACCCGGCTAAAACAGAGTAAGCACAGGACGATTATACCGACGAGAGAAAAATTACATACCTTGGTAATATAAATCTTGGTAGGCAGGTATCCTTCATTGAATTCCTCATCCAACTCATCTCCCTCCTCGAGATCCTTTTCGTTCTCAAACTCTTCTGAGAAGTCATCCTCACCATAAGGAGACTCGCCAGTATAGCTGTTCACATCAGAAGGAACGAATTTAACAAGAATCCTAGATCAGAATTAACTACTGGGACTTCTGCTTGTGCCATGTGGAAATACGTACTCGGTACCGTCCTCGATGGTCTTCTTCAATGTGACGTTGTCGACGTCAGGAAGATCAATGAGCTATATATTTAATCGTTAATTCATGATCCACACAAGTACAGCAAAAAACTACACTCCTAAACGTACCTCAAATCCGTGACCATCCAAAATCTCTACTAGTCCCGAGGTCGACTCTTCCTCCTTCGCCTGCGTGTCCTCGAAAGACAGCTCATCATTCAAAATCGACACAAGCTCGTCGCGAGGGGATATTGGCGCACCTGTATAAGTTAACATAGGGTACTAACAGCAAACACCAGATTCTTAAACACGCACGTTTTTCCTTCTTGCTAACCTTTCCGCCAGCATGCTTAGCAGCAACCACAGGGACGGCACTGAACGTCCGGACTTTGGTGACAATAGCTTCCTGTCTCAGAATATTGCCAATTTGAACACGAGGAACCTTAGCAGCGCGTGTGGCAGCACGCAAGAACATACGAGAGGCCATTGTGGATCTCTCAGCAAACTAGTTAAGGAAAGACGGAGCGTAGTGATGAAAATCGAGATCGAGGTAGAGGATTGCGGCTGCGATCAACTAGCAAGATTTTGTCCCGATGAGAGGCAGGGTAATCACGAGTAACTAGTGCACATACGTATGGTGCCGAATTACAACAGCCATAGCAACTTGTTAGGCATATAGCATATAGTTTATTGGCAATCACGAATCAGAAAGCACTTTAGGCTTTAGATATTGCATACTGTCATGGTTGATTCAGCAAGTGCATCCGACACGTCAGGATCGGCATCGGTACCGGATCAAACTAAAACTCCGCCTTCAAGTACAAGCCAACCTTCATCAAATGTCATGTATATGAAGGTCCCCAGTCTTATTAAGACAGTTTTTGACAAGTTTCCACTTGTAAAGTATGCGGAGGCACCATTACCATCCGCATGCATATTTCCGGCTCCAAGCAAGAAGGTATCTACATAAGGTCGTTGCAACCTGTTTCCGTGTGGAAGAGTTAACATTGCTATTCAGCTTGGAACGGTATTCGTGCATGCGATCACAGATGATTTGATATATCCGCAATCGATACGACTTCTTGTATGCATCCATGTTTTACCAGTAGATAGTGCTAATATACTGATTGAGGTATCTAGACTATCCTCAAGCTCGCTGGTGTCTTTGACAAGTTCACAACAATTCCTTCGTCACCCCAC